CCTCTAGAAGAGCAGCCCATGCTCTCAACTGTTCAGCCAGCTCTCCAACTCGTGTATTTTAACATTTTGGTACTATGTCTGATAAGGCTGTGAAGGAAGTGAGTCACTGGGAACAGGCCTCGAGGCTTCATAGCCTGGCCCCACTTCCTGTTCACCCATGAATTCCTGAATGTGGGTGCAATGTGACCTGTCTACCTCCCATCCCAGCCGCTGCATGTCTTCCCTGAGCCATGGTAGAAAGTATCCTCTAGGATTGTGAGCCAGAATGGAACTTCCTTTTTATTTTTATTTTTTGATGAAAACTGATCATTCCTTAAATATATTTATTTGTTTTATGTGTGTGTGGTGCACACACGTGTGTGCGTGTGCGTGTGCGTGTGTGCCTGCATGTATGTATGTGTAGCCCACATGTGCAGTGCCAGAGGGGGTCAGAAGAGGGCACCAGATCTTGAGTTACAGACAGTTGGGAGCTACTATGTGACAGCTGAGAACAGTACCTGGGTCTTCTGCAAGAACAGTAAGTACACTTAACTGCTAGATCCTCTCTCCAGGCCCCAAGTTTTAAACCAAGTTTCTGTCTCAAACAGGACAGAGCAACAGCAACAGCCTATCGGTGTGATCCACAGCCTAACATCTAAGATAGCCATATAGTCTTAGGCCAACCATGATTTGTAGGTCATGAACTAGGATAGAACCATAGGGAACAAAGGGAGGAAAAAGGAAATTGGAGCCTGCCCTGGGACCCTTAAGGCTCAACCCAGTCACCTACAGGTTTGTATGTCCCTTAGAGCTGATGAGCCAAACAAGATAAGACTTAACTGTACCACTGTCTTGCTGTCAGCTGACAAATAGACCCAGAATTGTGCAGCCAGGCACACCTGAGGACACTCATTTACAGACTGATGTGTACACGTGTACATACACATATTCCTACCTCCAATCCTGCCAATGTCTTCTCAATTGTAAACTCATATCATGGGGCAGAAGAACAGTATAATGTTATACAGTTGCTGGTGTCTCAAATGTGTCATCCTCTTAAATAAGGTATGGCTATCTTATCATCTTTCAGCATTCTACTTGTTTCTGCCCTGTGAGGTAGAAAGAGCAGATTAACCGATTTCAAAATTCACTTTTTCAGGGAAACTACAGAGTTCATCACTTTCCAATTACAGCTGTGTGAGTCGGTAAGTCGGGAATTGTAGTGTCACTACTATGGCCTTCTTTCATGTTGGCTAGTCACAAGACAGAAGGAACATTAGTGACAGAGGAGTGTAGAAAGAAAGACTCACTGTTAAATGAGCTGGGAAACCTGAGGATGTCAGGGCCATCCCAACTATGCACTACCCTAGAGTTACCCTCTGAAGGGTCTCTCCACCTCCTAAAGGCCAGGACATCCCATAAATGGAACCAAATACCACAACCAGAGCTGGAGAGATGGCCCAGTGGGTAAAATGCTTGCTGCTGCAAATCTGAGTTTGGATTCCTAATTGTGGTAGTTTGAATATAATTGTCCCCATAAGGCCCATAAGGTTATAGGGAATGGCACTATTAGGAGGTGTGGCTTTGTTAGAGCAGGTATGGCCTTGCTGGAGGAAGTGTGTCACTGTGGGGTGGGCTTTAAGGTTTCTTATGCTCAAGATATTGCTCAATGTCACAATCTACTGCCTGTAGCCTACTGATGAAGATATAGCCAAAACCATGACTGCCTAAGAGCCTCCATGCTCCCCATCATGACAATAATGGACTAAACCTCTGAAACTGTAAGCCTCAATTAAATGTTTTTCTTTGAAAGAGTTGCCATGGTCACGGTGTCGCTTCACAGCAACAGAACCCTAACTAAGACAGAAGTTGGTAGCAGAAGTGGGGTACTGCTGTGAATAGGCCTGACCATGTTTTTGTTTGGAGGAATTTGGACTTTGGTACTTTGGGTTAGGAAAGCAGTAGAATGTTTTAAATACTGTTTGATGGAGCATACTAGTAGGAGCATAGAAGACAATGGTACTGACAGTGATTTGAACTGGATGCTGGCTCAAGAGGTTTCAAAGGATAAGAATATTAATGTGTGACCTGGAGATCATTCTTGCAATATTTTGGTAAAGAATGTAGAGGCTTTTTTCCCTTGTCCAAAGAGTCTGCCTGAAGCTAAAATAAAGAGTTCTGAATTAATTCCATTGGCAGGGGAAATCTCCAAACAGCCTATTATAGACTCTGTTGTGTCTATTACTGTTAACTCTAATGAAGATTTATAATGAATAGGAACAAGCTAAGCAAATAAAAATACAAAATGGAGAGCCAGGCAGTGATGTCACATGCCTTTAATCCCAGCACTCAGGAGGCAGGGCAGGCAGATCTCTGTGAGTTTGAGGCCAGCCTGGTCTACAGAGCAAGTTCCAGGACAGGCTCCAAATCTACAGAGAAACCCTGTCTTGAAAAAAATAAATAAATAAACAAATAAATAAATAAATAAATTTAAGAATACAAAATGCAGAGCTTGAGAAAAGGGGCACCAGGAAGTAGAATAAAGCCAAATACTATGTTAAAGGAGATAAACAAATTAAGAAATGGAACAAAGGGAGTGGTGATCGCACCCAGCTAAGTTTCCAATTTTTGAAAAGAAATTAAAGAAAAGCTTAGAGCCAGGTGTGGTGATGCATGCCTTTGCCAGCACTGAGAAGGCAGAGACTAGTGAGACACGACTAGTCTAGAGATTAAGTTCCAGGACAGCCAAGCTTAGGCCATGGAAGACAGACAAAGCTGGTAAAGATATAATTGAACAAAGGAGCCATGATCCAGCCCCAATAAGCAGTAGAACCTGGCAGCTTCCACTATGTGATTCTGGAGTTAAGGATAGAAGAAAGGGGCTATGGAATTTGCCCTGAGACTAAGAAGAGCTGCTAAGGCTGGACCATTGCATGAAGCTGTAAAGGTGAAGCCTGGACTGCCTTGAGGACCCCAATATGCTGGAGATGCCAGAACTGCAGAGGAGAGCTGCAAACAGAAAGTAGAACCAGACCAAGAGAAAGAAATGTGTTGCAGTCAACAAAGCTAAATAGAGTTGGAGATCTGAAGAGCACTTTGACATTAAACACAGGGATAGAGTTTGGAATTTGCCCAGGTCCAGTATTTCCTCACTCTGGTCGTTTGGAATGGTAATCTATATCCTGTGCCATTATACGTTGGAAATATGTGATCAAAATTTTTGATTTTGATTTTGTAGGGGATTACAGTTAATGGACTGCCTGAATCTTAGAAGGGACTTTGAACTTCGAATTTTTAAACATTGCTGAGACTGTGATAGACTTTGGGGACTTTGAAGTTCAACTAAATGCATTTTACATTATGATACTGTTATAAACTTATGGGGGCCAGGGGGTGTAATATGATTTGGTTGGTTCGAATGTGATTGGCCCCTATAAGTTTATAAGGAGTGGCACTATTAGGAGGTGTGGCTTTGTTGGAGCAGGCGTGTGGAGGAAGTGTGTCACTGTGGGGAGGACTTAGAGATTTCCAATGTTCAAGATACTGCCCAGTGTCACACTCCACTTCCTACTGCCTTCTGATCAAGATGTAGACAGCACCCCATCTGCCTGAACACCACCATGCTTCCCACCATGATGATAATGGACTAAGCCTCTGACACTGTAAGTTACCACCTCAATTAAATGTTTTCCTTTATAAGAGTTGCTGTGGTCATGGTGTCTCTTCACAGCAATAAAACCCTAACTAAGATACCAGTGTTTTTTTAAAAAGTCTGGCCAAATTGATGATCTCCAGGTTCAGTGAGAGACCCTGACCCAGAAAATAAAGGTGGAGAGCTATTTTAGACACTGGACATTGACCTTAGGCCTCCATAAAGGCACACACACACACACGCACACACACACACACACACACACACACACACACACACACACTTAGGTGCCTGTGCACACACAAAACCTAAGTTACAAACTCAAGCAATCGGGTCATTGTCTTCAACCCACAGTCCATCTCCAGCTGGTAATTATAAATCAGAAATATACCAAGAACCAGGCCCCCGACATAAATGATTCAAAGGTTGCTACTTTTTTAAAAGGTATATTTTATCATGAATTGTGTGTCTGTGAGCACATGTGGAGAGGGTGTTTGCATGTGGGAGTGCAGGTGCCTGTGTAGTCCAGAAATAGGCATCGGACAGGCAGTTATGAGTCACTTGATGTAACTGCTGGAAATTAAACTGGAGTCCTCTACGAGAGGACTCACTCTTAGCCACTGAGACATCTCCCCAACACTGCAAAGTTGCTACTTTTAATCCCATATCAAGAAGTCTGAGGAAAGGCAGCAGAATGACCTTGCCTGACACACAGCATGAAGGGACACTGGAAAAAGGCCCAAGCACAAGAGCCAGCTTTGTCCCCACATTCACCATCACTGCGTAAACTCTTACTGTGACCAAGATGCCAGCATGGTTGCAGAGAAGCAGATGGCCCATAAAGGCGCCATTGTTGACTCATCCAGGCAAGATTTCCACATCCCAGGGCAGGGAAGCCAAGGCCAACAACACTAGGTGAGAAACAGTTGGACAGACCTCACCATCACACCAACATCACTGAGGGAAACTGCTTTTCCCATTTTTCTGGCAAAGTCGCTTCCAAACATACCAAACGACACAAGTGAATCGATTTGAGCTCTGACAGGTCACACAAAAGAAAAACACTAAACAGGGAAGTGATCAGGTATCAACTTCAATGAAAGAAAGACTGCTGGAGGCCAAGAGGTAAAGTAGAGAAAAGGTGACTTGGCCATCATCCCTCCCTTCAAGCATGTCTCCCACCCCCCAAGCATGAGCACAAACACACACACACACACACACACACACACACACACACACCACATACACATATACATAGCACACACGAGCAAGGGTTCACCTATACACACACCTATACACCGTCCCTTTGTCAGGCCCCTCAGCACATCAGAGCTCTACAATCAAGAGGCAAAGAGAAAACCTAACATACCAGCCAACTTCCAACACCTTCCACGCTCTTTACTGCTGTCCCAGCAGGAATTCCTGGTCTTGGGACAAGGTTCTTCAAAGCCAGCAGAAGTTTGACCCCCAGGAAGATGAGATCAGTTCTCTTGCAGCACCAACAATCCCAGGCTGAAAGAACTGAAAGCACCAAGCGAGATTGGTGTAGGTAATGATGTATGGTGACCCAAGTTCAATGCCAGAAACCCACAATAAAAAGCCCAACAAAATCCCAGTACTCCTACCATGAGAAGGAAAGTGAAAACAAGAATCACACACAAACTCACACACCAGCTAGCCTGGAGTACATGCCACAGCAGAAACAAGACAGCCTGCCTCAGTGGGGTGGAAGGAGAGAACTAGCTTCCAAAAGTTGTTCTCTTGCCTCCAGGTGCACACTGTGGCACACCCGAAGACAAACCAATAATAGAAGGAGTCTGCAATTCATCACCAGGAAAGCAAATGCTGGTGAGGGACATGGACAAAAAGGACCCTTACACTGTGGCTGGGAATGTAAACCAGTCCAGCGTCCACGGAAACCAGCATGATGCCTCAGATACACCAAGCCTGGCTGTTCACCTAAAATATTTTAAGTCAAGACATCACAGAGATACTTGCAATCAATGTTGGCTACAGCTGTATGCATAACAGCTAATTTAAGGAACCAACCTAGAAGTCAGGTGATGGTGATGCACGACTTTAGTCCAGCACTCAGGAAGCAGAGACAGGCAGATCTCTACGAGATCAAGGCCAGTCCGGTCTACAAAATGAGTTCCAGGACAGCTGGGATTGTTACACAGAGCAATCCTGTCTCAAAAAAACAAAATGGATAAATAAATAGGTATCTGTGCTAATTTGAATGTAACTGGCCCCATAATCTCATAGGCAGTGGCACTATTGGGAGGTGTGGCTTTGTTAGAGTGGGTGTGGCCTTGCTGGAGGAAGTGTGTCTCTGTCGGGGCGGGCTTTGAGGTTTCCTATGCTCAGGATACTGCTGAGTGTCCATTTCTTGTTGCCTGCAAGATAAAGGACTCTCAGCTACTACTCCAGCACCATGTCTACCTGCATGCTGCCATGCTCCCTGCCCTGACAATGGCCTGAACCTCTGAAACTATAAGCTAGTCACCCCAATTAAATGTTTCCTTTATAAACATGGTGTCTCTTCACAGCAATAGAAACCCTAACTAAGACAGTGTCTGTCAACAGAGGAATGGATTAAAAAAAAAGTGACACACACACACACACACACACACCACACGATCAAAATTTTTTCTAGTTATCAAGAAAGGAGTCATAGTGTTTGCAAGAAAATGGAGACAACTAGAGATAATATTGAGTGAAGTCAATCATAGGAACACAAGTATCACACTTCCTGCTATTTGTGTGTCCTAGACTTAATAGATATATGTGCAAAGGGCAGGAAAGTAGTCATGAAATCATCTGGGGAAGAAAGACGATGAATGGGAGAAGAGGAAGGTAGTGAAGTATGGGGAGGTGATTAAAATATATTACAAATTTACATATAAAAAATTTAAAGGGGAAATATATAGCTGATGATGATTAAGAAACCCTGCTGCGCTGAACTATTTGCCTCGCCCCCCCCCCCATTCCTGCTGAAGCTCTATTCCCCAGTGTGGGATGCTGGGAGATAAGGTCTCTTATAGGAAGTTCAGATGAGGCCAGGAGGGTGAGGGACATCACAATGAAATTAGAGGCTTCACATTAAAAAACTGGTGAGACTGCCTAACTATATGCTATCTCTTTCACAGGAGGCCATAGGAAGCAGTCTGCAGGCCAACAATAGGGCCCTCACCAAGAGCTGCACACCAATACTCTGACCTCAGAGCCCACTCTCTAGAGCCATTTCTGCTGCTATGTCCATTGAGTTTTGTTATAGAAGGCTGAGCTGACTAATACAAACCCCATGAAGACTGCCCTTGACCAGGGACAGACAATGCCAAGGGCAAGGGAGGCAGTCAGGCAGGCATTCATAGGCTATGAAACTTAGCCAGTTGTGCACAATGTCCAACTGTCAGGTCCTTTCCCATGCCCCAGCTGGCTAACCCAGTGCCAACATGTCAAATAGCCCAACATCGCTGGAGGAATGAGCTAGAAGTAACACACTCAGCAGTTCCAGATTTGGCCCAGAAATCCTTGAATGTGTGTGCTCTCCCAGGGAACTCAGAGTCTAGTAGCCCTAGACAAATCTAAACTTAGCCAGAGAAAGAATTTGCTCAGCTCTGCCTGTCTCCTACGTGGCCCAGTAAGTGTCACTACCTCCTTTGGCAAAAACTTGTCTTGGGAGTGCTATAAATACCACCTGAGTGATGAATACCAGGAATGGTTTCAGGGTTTCCAGGCACTGGCTTTGTGATAGGGGTGTCAAATTCAAAGTCTCCTGCACAAGATGCCGACCCAGAGGACACACAAATCCCCTGGGGCCCCACCCTGCCACATCTCTACTGATCCACATTGCTAGCAGATGGGAAGCTATGGGGCAGAAGATGTTTGAGATGACAGGAAAGGATAGAGACTGGGGAGACAACTCTGGTAGTAAAGTGTTTGCCTTACGAGCACTGGACCTGAGTTTGAAACCCAGAGTCTACTTTTGTTTCATTCATTTGTTTGTGATAAGGTCTCACTATGTAGTCAAGGCTTGTCTGGAACTCACTATGTAGAGCTGGCCCTGTACTCATAGAGATCCACCTGTCTCTGCTTCCTGAGTGGTGGGATTAGAGACATGCCCCACCATGCCTAGTTATAATCTTTATGGTTTTCGGTCAGATTGGTTTTCAAAGCTGGCATGTTAGTAGAAACTTATAACTCCAGTGCTAGAGAGAAAGAAACAGGCAGATCCCTGAGGCTCACTGGCCAGGCAAATGAAAGGCCATGACAATCCCCCAAAAGGTAGATGAAATCTGAAATACAATACCTGAGAATGTCCTCTGGACTCTTATGTGACATACATGTGCACTCACACAAACACACAAAGGACAAAAGTGGTCTTGGTCCTCTGAGACACTAGAACTAATTTAGAGCTTTGAAGGTAGGAGCCACAGAAATAAAGGCAGACCTGGGGTTTGTTACATCTCCCCCATGGCTGTGCCCAAGGGACTCTGGATGGTGTTTATGGAATGAACTTAAGGTCTGTAGGTTTCAAGGGGTCAGGGTTTGCTTCCCTAATATGGAAGAACAAGGCCAGCAAGACCCCTTCACCTGGGAAGTAAAGGGTGAGACGGAAGAGGGAGTGGGCTCTGCAGATAGGCCCCAGGAAACATAAGTATGAACAGAAGAGGCCAGGAGACACAGCCCAGGAGGAAGGCCAACATACAGCAGCCAAAGGTAACACAGAGAAAGGGTGCCACTAAGGTATTGACCACTGAGGCTCAAAGAGCACCTATGAACCCAAGGGGAGGTCTGTACACCCAAGGGCTGTCGCAAGCCTTCCAAAATGGTACTTTGGTACGATAGCCACTGTAGTAACCTGAGTAGGGACCAGAAGACACCTGCAAACCTACACTAGGTATGCAAGTAAGAATATGAACCAATCACTCCCCATACAGCTACAGCCACATCTGTAACAACTCTGCCAGGCTGACCTCACAGAACCTTCCCATCTGTGTCTGTGCCTTGGGATCTCCCCTCTCCTATTGGCTTATCTTCACATCCCTGATGGGACCTGCAGCCCTTTTCCAAGGTCCTCATCATGTCATCTCCTTATGGGGACATACCTCCTGACTCAGAAATAGCAGCCTTTCCTTCCCCAATCAAAGCCCACTGTGGCACACACAGCAAGGGCTTCCTGGTCCATACTTCCTGATTCTGATCCTGCAAGTAAACCGCAAGTCCAGGAAGGGGAGTCCTACAAAGCATTATCTCAATTAAATTATTTTGTTTGTTTGTTTTTTTTAGTGTTGACAAAAAGGCTCAGTGGGTAAAGGCATCTGTCGTACAACTTGGGCAACCTGAATTCAATCCCTAGAACCCATGTAAAGGTAGAAGGAGAGAAGCAATTCCACAGAGTTGTCTTCTGACTTCCACACATCTCACCTCTACAAACTATAGCAGTAATAAAAATAAAACTGTGAAGTTCTTTTTCGCCTTCCTCTACTCACATTCCTTGTGCTCCCTAACAGACCTAATGACACACAGGCATGTGCTCGTGCACACTCACACACAGCGAGCATGCACTCACACACAGCTACATCAATTATCCCCTCAATATGTCTTTGCTGTCAGCCCCTTCACAGACACAGAAGGGAAGAATGCATCCTTGTACGGGGACCTAGACAGAAAGAAGAGCACCAGTTTCACCACTCCTCGCCTGACACACTTAGTCAGAAGAAGGCAGAACCTTGGGAAGAATGCCCTGCAAGCATTTCCTCAGGTCCTTATCCTAAGGAATGCAGTCCTTCCTAGGCTGCTCTGAGTCACTCCTCAGTTTTCCAGGGACTGAGCCAAACCTTCAATGTCCCCTCCATCATCCCCATGGCTTCTCCTACCCCTGGAAGCAAGGTAAAGTCCAACTTAGAGGGGAGCAGGGGAGGGTGTGGGAGAAGTGGTGGTGGGAGGGAGCATGCACCCGGCTTCCTGAGGGGGCACCCACCAGAAACCTCACACCTAGTGACCACACCTGTTCATCTATCTCATAAAGATATTCCCACCCAGCATCATGAAACTTTCATTCAGACCACATGACCAAGGTCTCACAGCCCTGAAGAGTCAGGTCTTCCTCGTCCCAGCCCAGCCAGCTGACCCCTTAGAGAACCTGGACACCAGAGTCATTGGGCAATAAAGTATTACAGCCACACTCCCCAGGACACAGGGACAGCAGTTGAAGCCCACCTTCAGAGTCCCAAGGGACCCTCCTTTCTCCACTTTCACACAAACGTTTCCCAGGACTGTTCTATAAACCAACATCAGTAAGAAGGGAACATCCACGGTGTAAGCAGAGCTGCGTCATTAAATTGTACAGTCCTTTGGGGAACAAAAAGGCCAAACCAAGCCACAAATTGTTGGGTCTTCAAAACCCAAATAGAAAGTGTATCTGTTCCTGTTCTGGGGGGAACCTGGTATGCATCCACCTCCTTCAGACTACAGGGGCCCTCA